CTGGGATTACAGATGTGCACCACCAGGCCCAGCTAATTTTTAAAATTTTCTTGTAGAGTGGGTCTCACTATGTTGCCCAGGCTGGTCTCAACCTCAAGTGATCCTCCCTCCTCAGCCTCCCAAAGTGCTAGGATTACAGGTGTGAGCCACCGTGCCCAGCCAGGATTTTTGACTTTTTTTTTTTTTTTTTTGAGACAGAGTCTGGCTTTGTTGCCCGGGCTAGAGTGAGTGCCGTGGTGTCAGCCTAGCTCACAGCAACCTCAAACTCCTGGGCTCCAGCGATCCTTCTACCTCAGCCTCCCGAGTAGCTGGGACTACAGGCATGTGCCACCATGCCGGGCTAATTTTTTCTGTATATTTTTAGTTGTCCAATTAATTTCTTTCTAATTTTAGTAGAGACAGGGTCTTGCTCTTGCACAGGCTGGTCTCGAACTCCCCCGCCTCGGCCTCCCAGAGTGCTAGGATTACATGAGCCACCGCGCCCGGCCTCCAGCCAGGATTTTTGATGAAAGGAAGGATGTCTAGTGGGCTTGGACTTGGTGGCTGGGGTGGGGAGGAGGTGGGGCAACTTGAAGAGCGCTATAGAAACTGAGAGACAAGCACGGCCTGCCCTTGCAGGGGCTCTGGAGGCATGCCTTGGAATCTGGGTGGGATGCTAAGGGCCACCTGGGGGTAGGGGGCCTGGAGGACTTTAGACAGGGGAATGGCATGATCAGATTTGAGATTGTCCTGAGGAGAATGGCTTGGGAAGGGGCATAGCTGGGTTATGCGGTGTGGAGAGGGAACCTGGGGACCAGAGACCCTCTCGAGGCTGCACAGAAGGATGGTGGTGGCCTGGCTCGAGTCTTGGCAGTACAAGTGGAGAGGAAGAGAGGTGGACACATCTAGACATACCGAGAAGAGGACAGGTTAGGAGCCGGTCATTGACAAGAGGTGGCAGTATCTGGAGCCCAGTCTCATCACATTGTGAGCCTTGGTGACCTCACTGTGTAGTGCCTACCTTGCAGCGTTCTCATGGGATAAAATACAGCAGGGACAATGTCGCCTCTTTTGCAGATGTAAGCTAGAGGCAGCAAGTGACTTGGTCAAGGTCCCTGAGCGAGCACCAGTCGCCAGTGCTTTTGCTCCCTGCTGGCTCTGCAGGGCGTACCTGTCTTGGCATGAGTGACCTTTCACAGAACCCTGGCAGGGGAGGGAGAAGGAAGGTACTGTCTGTTCTTCCAGTCCTGCCGCAGACCTTGAGGGAGCCACAATAAATGCTGTGTTTATTTGATAAAGCACTTACTTGGCTTTTGGTCTGGCAGGAGGGAGAGCTGGAACAGGTGTGGCAAGAGTCGGTGGCTGTGGCACCACAGTGGGAAGTGGGTGAGACAGCCCCAGGGCCTGGCAGGGGGTCCAGGGCTGTGGGGTTTGAAGAAACCCGGGGACTTTCTCATGACCCAGGCATCTCCCTCTTGTTCCCAGGTGAATATATCAAAATATGAATGATACGAATTCATGTTAAGTGAGCTGCTATTGTGTGCCCAGCATGGTGCCAGGTGCTTTCCATGCGAGCAGGCACACCTTCGTTCCCCAGACATTTCTGACCAGCCTGCCATGCCAGCCTGCGCTGGATGCTGTAGACAGAGAAAAGCTCAGGACACTGTCCCTGACCTTGGGAGTGAACTTTTGGTAGGGAAGTCTGACAAGAAACAAAACCACGCTATACAGTAGTGCAGTGTGTGCCGTGATGGGGAGACAGTGGGCTTCACGGAGCCTAGAGGGTGGCTCAGCTAATCCTTGGCACAGCCCACAAACCCATTTTGTTTGTTTGTTTGTTTGTTTTGAGATAAGGTCTCGCTCTGTCCGCTGGGATAGAGTGCAGTGGCGTCATCCTAGCTCCCTGCAACCTCAAACCCCTGGGCTCAGGTGATCCTCCTCCCTCAGCCTCCCGAGTAGGTGGGACTACAGGTGTGCGCCACCATGCCTGGCTAATTTTTCTATTTTTTGTAGAGACGGGGTCTCGCTGTGTTGCCCAGGCTGGTCGGGAACTCCTGGGCTCAAGTGATCCTCCCGCCTCAGCTCCCAAAGTGCTAGGATTACAGATGTGAGTCAGCACGCCCGACCTTCATACCCATATTATAGATGAGGAAACCGAGTCTCAGAGGAGTGAACTGCACTGTTTTAGTTCTGGCTAATTTCCCTCTGCAGAGGGTGATAAGACAGGGATGGAAAAGACAAGTTAGAGAGGCCCTCCAGGGTCATCCAGTTCAGCTCCCTTGTTGAAATGAGGGAGACACTGAGAATCGAAAGGGGAAGGGATTTGCTCAGAGCCACACAGGAAAGGCGTGGCCAAGCCGGATCTGGAGCTCAGCTTTCCTGGCTCCCAGCTCGGGTGTGCTCCTTGACACCAAATGCCTCTCTCTTCTCCAGCTGCCCAGAGGTTTCCTGGGAACCCCCTCACCTGGGACCCTCCTCAGCTTATGGTCTGTAAGCTCCAGTATCTCTGCTTAGGCCCTAGACCCCAGAAGGGATAAGAAAGAAGACCTTGAAGGATGTGTGTGCATGCAGGGGACAGGCATAGGACGGAGGAGGACACCTCCCTCCCCCTCCTGCCTCCAGGAGGCTCCGGGGCGCCCAGGCTTGGGGAGAAGCCAGGGGACAGGGGAGAATCTGAAACCCCAAGGACCTGCACACCCCTGCCCAGGATTGGGTCTGTCTCCCTTCCCTGCTGCCTCCCTCTTCTTGGGGGTGCACGGGTGGGCTATGGGGGCAGGCTGGCTCAGATGTGGCTGGAAGGGACTATGTCCAGGCTTCCCTCTTGGAGTTGATGGTAAACGAACGACCCTGCTCCTGTCTCTAGGCTCCCTGGCTCCCTGGCTAGGACTGCTGGGGCTGGAGACAGGTGCCACCTCTTAGTCCTTAGCCCACTTCCCCCAAATCCCATCTCAGACAGGCCCACAGAAACCTTCTCTTCCCAGCTTCCTTCCCGTCACCCCCTATCCCTGAGCCCTCTCATTGCCTGAGTCCCCCTTCCTGTCAGAGCCCTCCCCCTCACTGAGACTGGCCCCCTTCCCCAGGATCCATGTCCATCAGTCACCCCCACACCCGCACAATCGGTTTCACTCTCCCTGGCGCCTCCTCTGCAGGCTAAGGACAGTGGTTCCCGAAGGGGAGCCTGCGGGGCAGAGACTAATCCAAATACCAGTTCTTTCCTAGAATCCTACAGAGTGACCTAAGCTAAGGCAGACTTACTATTAACCCACTTCCTCTTCCTTGGGTCATCGAGGTGACAATATGTTGGTGTTCCTTTACCAGAGAATTTTTCTGGAGCTAAGCAGAGGGTTCTACTAAGAAATCTAGCTGCTACAATTTTGCTTTAGCTTTGCTGCAGCCCAAAATGTTTGAGATACAATAATTTAGACATAACTAAGTCTCCCTAGACCCCAAATACGTGTGCAATCCTCGCTCCGCCCCAAGTTGCTGGCTTGGCCTGTGAGTCCCTTTCTAAGCAAACCTCTTGGACACATAGTCTACAGCGTCTGCTTTCACTCCTCACCTGCTACCCTCTTTCCCATCCACCGCTTTGGCCCCCACCCCTTTTGCGAAGGCCGCTGGTGACCACCTTGCTGCTCTTAACCCCATGACTACTCCTTGGACCTCATCTTGCCTGGCCACTCCTGTAGCCCAAGACTCTGTTGCCAACACCTGCCTCCTGGAAACTTTTTTTTTTTTTTCTTTTGGTTTCTGGACTGACCTCATCCACGCCCCTGGTTTCGGTTGCCATCTGTGTACTAACAACTCCCAGGTTTACCAGATCTCTCTACATGTCCTCTACTTCCTGGGCGCCTCTACCTGATGTCCCACAGGCTTGCCCAGCTCTACGCTCCCCCAGAAATCTGGTCTCCTACTGTGGTGAATGACACCACTGTCCAATCGGTGAGCTAAGGTGGAAAATCCTAGATTCCAGCACGCTTCCCTCTCCCTCACTCTGCACATCCCAGTGGCTCTCAAGTGCTGCCCACCCTGCGTCCTTAACAGCCCCCAGCGGGTTCTGCCAGAGCGCCCTGGCACGGCCTCGTTCCTGGCCACCATCATCTCACGCCACAGCAATGGCCTTGTTTCCTCTGAGACGGTCTCCCTGCCTTTGTCTCTCTCCTAGAATCCCAGCTCCCCGGGGGGCTGCCGGCGAGCAGAAACCTGGCCAGATATTCCCCTTCTAGGGCTCCCTAACGCCCAGAGTAAGGAAGGTCCAAAGTCCGTGATTCCCTTCCCACACAGGAGACTCTGTCCGGCCCCTGGCGCCCATCACCACTTCCTGGCTGGCTCCGCGAGCCACCCGGCCATTAGGACTCTCTCACCCATTCTTTCCCGCCTGGGCCTGGGCTCCAGCCCCTTTTCCATCTAATCCGCATTTTCTCCAAGACGCCAGCGCTTTTCCACATTGTTTACCTCAAGCCCCTTTGAGATGCACATAAGAGTGTTGCGCTCCCCTTCTTAGCCCCCCCTTTCCCTCCCTTGAGGGTCCCTCTCTCATCTCTCCTCCAGGTGAGAAGATTTTGCCCAACTTTACTTTTGGCGGCTGTGTTTTATCAAAATAGGTCTTTTTGTTTTCCTTTTCCAAATCACAGTGTGGAATGTGCTCTTTCACGCGGCACCCAGAGACTGGGAAGGCACAGCACACTGTGGAGAGGGTGCAAGCTCCAAGCACAGACCAAATGGCAAATCCTTGAGAAGAGGGCCCCTTGCCACCTTCCCCTCCCCTCCCCTCCCCGGCCACAGCATTCTGGAAGTGCTCCCGCCGGCTCTCTAGATTGGGTCTTGGCCACACAGGCTCTGTTTTGGTCATCACTTGATGCCCAGTGAGTAGGCAAGTGACCCCCCAGTGAGCACCGAGCTCAGCTTACAACCCCACTTTCCCTCTAAACTCCATCTGGGCAGGGCGGTGGGAGAGCGGGATCCAGCCAAGACCGACCCCCAGGGGGGCGCTCAGGACAAGGAGGCTCCAGCAACTGCAAAACGAAATGCTTTTATTGATAAATATCAAGTGCTCCATTTCGTGACTGCTGGTTCCTGCCCTTGGTGGGCTTTGGGGCAGCGGCCCGATGGGGCTCCACCGGGCAGGCAAGTAGCGGCGGGCACCCCAGCCCTGCGCTCCAGAGGGGTGAGGCTTCACAGTCCATGCGGGCTGGTTCTCGGGTCCCGCAGGCGGCTCCTCAGCCCGCAGAGGGGTGGCAGCTGGGAGGGGGCGCCGAGCTGGCCCCTTCCAGTCCAGCGAGGGGGCTTCCTGGCATCTGGGGCCGGGCTGGTCTCCGATGCGAGGCTGCAGGCTGGACTGGTGGGCGCTCCAGCTCGTGGCGGTGCGGTGGGGTCTCCTCCGTCTGCCTCCTCAGACGTAGTCCTTGCGGTCGTAGGCGATGCTGCCGGACGGGCCCGCGGAGCGCGGCGCCGAGTAGAGGATCTTGCCGGCCTGGTACTTCTTCTCGCGCGGTGGGCACGAGCAGCAGAGCAGCGCGCCCCCCAGCAGCTGCAGCGCCGAGGCCGCCCAGCCCACGTACAGGGCGGCGCCCATCTCGCGCTTCTGCGCCTCGGGCACCAGGGCGTTGTAGAAGTCCCGGATGATGGTGTTGGCTGACCAGGACACCGGCACGAGGGTGAGCAGGGCGGCCAGCAGGAAGAGCACGCCCGCCACGATGGTGATCTTGGCCTTGGCTGTGTCGTCCTGCACGCAGTTGGTGCACTGGGCGCCCACGAGCGCCACGAGCAGCCCGAAGGCGGCCACCAGGATGGCCACGACGATGAGGGCACGGGCCGCCTGCAGGTCCTGCGGCAGCGCCAGCAGCGAGTCGTACATCTTGCACTGCATCTGGCCGGTGCTCTGCACCACGCAGTTCATCCACAGGCCCTCCCAGGTGATCTGCGCCGTGATGATGCTGCTGCCGATGAAGGCCGTCACGCGCCACATGGGCAGCGCGCAGCACAAGATGGTGCCCAGCCAGCCCAGCACGGCCAGCGAGGTGCCGGTGATCTCTAGGCCCATGGACATGGCTGCCGCGGCAAGGCCGGCTCCGCCGGGCGGCTCCGGGTGCGGGAAGACGAGGGTCCGGGGCCGCTGGGCCTGGCCGGGAGCTGCGGCGCCGACGGGTCGACAGACAACCGACGGGTCGACAGACAACCGACGGACGGACACACGGACGGCGCGCTAACGGCTGGGCTCCGAGCTCGCGCGGCGGCTGCGCCTGCACCTGCCTGTGGCTCTGTGGGCGGCCGGCGGCGACTGGGCTGGAGCTGGGCTGGGGCCGGGTAGTCTTAGCCAAGTGCCCAGCGCACCGGGGGAGGGCGGGAGGGGCGGAGCTGCGCTCTCCGGGGCCTGGGGACAGTGACGTGGCCCCCCTCCCACCTTTACGGAGCGTCCTGGGAGGAAGGACTTGGCCGGGAGAGGCGCGGCGCGGGGGTGGGGGTGCCAAGACAGGGCGGGGCCTGAACCCTCCGGCCCCTCTATCCTTGTCCCCCACTGCTCAGAGACGAATTCTCCGGGGCAGACTGGGGGAGGGGATGCTTCAGGAGTTTAGGGGGCAAATCACAAACTGTTTGACAACCCCATCCCCCGCCATTTTTGGCGCCTTTGGCGCGGGCGCGTGGGGATGGGGGCGCTGCAACTACCCCGGCGCGGCGGGAGGGGCAGGGCGCCGTGTGGGCGTGGCCGCGGCTGTTTGCCGGAGTGGGCGGCTGCCCGGGAGCTCTGCACCTGCTCCCCGGTCCCTCTAGCCTCCCAGGCAGCACACGCGTTGCACAGGCCCAGCCTGATTCAGGCCGGTGGGTTTGTCCAGCCTGGGAGGTGCGGGGCCCGGGAGCCAGGGACCAACTGCGGCTGGGGGTGGGTTGGCGTGGGCAGAAGATGCCCTTGAGCCAAGCTGACCTCAGATGTCTCTCCAGCCCCCTTCAGTTCCCATCGCTGGCAGAGCTCCTGGATGCTTGTAGCTGAGCGATGCTCCCCTCCCAGAGCCCCTGTCCTCCCTCCCTTGGAGCCTGAGTCAGAGCTGGGGTCCACGTTAATGAAGTGGTGAAGCGGTTTGATCCAGGCAAAGGAGGGAAGTCGGAAACGCTGCCTGCGATGCCCTTGCTCCCACACCTGGGCAATCCTCCCGGCCCTGAGTCCTTCAGGGCTGGCCTTGAGGTTCTGCCTGGGCTGCTCCCACCCCCTGCTCCTCTCTTCCCCTCACTGCAGCTCTTGGGTCTCCTCACTGCTCCTCCCGTATGCCCCTGTGCTGGCTGTCCCCTCTGCACAGAACACTCCTGCAGTATACACATGGCTTCAGGTTTTTGCTTCCAGTGCGTCCTTCCCTGACCACCCTATTTCAAATTGCAACTTCTTACCCCACAATGGCCTGTCCCCTTTTCATACTTTATATTCCCCTTAGTGGTATTTTTGTTGTTGTTATGTTTTTGTTTGTTTTGTTTTAGAGACAGGGTCTTGCTCTGTTGCCCAGCTGGAGTACAGTGGCACGATCATAGCTCACTGCACCCTCCAACTCCTCAAGCGATCCTCCTGCCTCAGCCCCCCAAAGTGCTGGGATTACAGGCGTGAGCCACCCTGCCTGGCTCCCTCTTGGCATTTAACACCATCTGACATACTCTATGTTTTTATATTTTTCTTATTTATTTATTTATTTTTTCGTTGTACTTAAATGACAAAATAATAATTGTATGTATTCATGGGGCACATAGTGATGTTTCAATACATGTAATGTATAGTGATCAGATCGGGTAATTAGCATAGCCATCATCTCAAACATTTATCATTTCTTTGTGTCGACGACGTTCAATAACTTCTTTATTTTAAATTGTTTCTCTCTGCTCCAGTCTGTCAGCTCCATTGGGACATCCAGAATGTCCCAAAATGGGGAAAAATTGTGCTGGTTTTGTTCACGGCTGCATCCCCAGTGCCTAGAGCAGAGCGGAATACTCAAGAGGTAGCTGATTTAGTGACTTGAATGAGGGGAAGACATCACTTTCTCATGTTCCTAACCACCTTGCCTGCTTGCCCTCCCCCCTCCCCCCACTCCCACCCCGCTGGTGAGAATGGCTGTTAATGGGATATTGTGTTATCTGAATCAACAGGTCTTTGCCAGCTATTAATGGTAGGAACCAAGGGCTCTTCCAGTGAGATGAGAGACCCCATTGAGCCGGGCCTGGGGGTTTTTCTGGGTGGCTCACATCTCTCAAATCACAGGCATGCAGCTTTCATCCTCCTCCATATGTGCCCAAGCCCTGGGGTGACAGAATTCTGAGTAAGATAAACAGAGCCCATAGAAACCAGGGTCCTCCTTTTTTCAGGGGCAAAGGTCTTGGGCTGGGCCTGGGCAGAGCTGGGAGTGCCTGGCCAGAGGGCCCAGCTGGTGCTGGGTGGGGGCTGCCCTGGGGGAAGTTTGTATAGCCCAGGGCCTCTTCAAGTGGACTACTGGCTGCTACAGTTTCCTGGTGAGTGAGGGCTTTGGGCCAGAAGAAAGATGGAACTCCCAGGCAGTGTGGGGAGCTGAGGTCAGATGCTTTTGGCCAGAGAGTGGGCCCCCACTGGACGGCCAGTTGTGCCTGGTTTGGGTGGCACAAGCTCTGACTCTTGCTGGTTTCGAGGTTGGTGAAAGTCACGTCGCCTCCCTTAGCCTCAGTTTCCTTCTCTGTAAAATGAAAGAAATGATGTCTATATGACTCACCTCACAGGGTTGTGGCGAGAGTGGAGGTAACATTCCGTGTGTTGTAAAGCAGAAAACAGTCAGGCGGGGCATGAAAACGTACAGAGAAATTGCTGGGAGAGAGGGTGGGTTTAGTCGGACAGATCTGAATTTGAGCCTGGCTCCCCTCTTAAGGCTCATGAGACCTCAAACGACTCCTTTTCCCACCTTGAGCCTCAGTTTCCTCATCTGTGAGAAGGGGCTTGGTCTGAGTTGCTGGGGTCAGGGGGCTTGTCCCTGAGCTGAGCGAGCTGCTGGGCAGAGCTGCACAGAGATGGGGCAAGCGGGACCCAGCTTCATGCCCGGGGGCCAAACTTCAGAGATTCTGCAAATAAGACTTTGGCTCTGGGCAAACAAAGCTCCAATCAGCTTTTTGCTCAGTATCTGCCAAGGTTCTTACAACTCAATAAGAAAAAGGCAAATAACCCAATTAAAAAGTGGGCAAAGGATCTAAACATTTAGAATGGACAAAGAAGATATAAAATGGCCAGTAAGTGCATGAAAAGACACTCAACATCGTTAGTCATTAGGGAAATGCAAATAAAACCACAAAGAGATACTACTTCACACCCACAGGGATGGCAGTAATCATATGACACGTGTTGGGGAGGATGTGGGGAAATTGGAACACTCATACATTGCTAGTGGGAAGGTAAGATAGTGCCCTGCCTTTGAGAACAGTCCGGCAGTTCCTCAAAGGGTTAAACGTAGAGTTATCCTGTGATCCAGCAATTCCACTCTCTGCATTTACCCAAGAGGAATGAAAACATACATTCACACAGAAAATTTGTACACGAATGTTCACAGCAACATTATGCATAATAGCCCCAAAGTGGGAACATCCTAAATGTCCGTCAACTGATGAATGGATAAACAAAGTGTGGTATATCCATACCATGGAACACTATGCATGGAACATAGTACTGAAACATGCTACGTCATGGGTGAACCTGGAAAACATGGTAAGTGAAAGAGGCCAGTCATAAAGGACCACCTGTTGTATGATACCATTTATAAAAATTATCTAGAATATGGAAATCTATAGGGACAAAAAGTAGATCAGCAATTGTTGGGGACTGGGGTGAGGGTGTTGGGAAGAATGTAGAGTGACTGCTGACGGGTACAGGGTTTACTTTTGGGGGTGATGAAAGTGTTCTGCAGTTGACTGTGCTGATGGTTACATAACTGTGAATGCATTAAAAACCATTGGACTTTACAATTTGAATTGGTGAGTTGTATGGTATGAAAATTATATCTCAATAAAGCTGTTAAGGCTGGGCGCGGTGGCTCACGCCTGTAATCCTAGCACTCTGGGAGGCTGAGGCGGGTGGATCGTTTGAGCTCAGGAGTTCGAGACCAGTCTGAGCAAGAGCGAGACACCCGTTTCTACTAAAAATAGAAAGAAATTAACTGGACAGCTAAAAATATATAGAAAAAATTAGCCGGGCATGGTGGCGCTTGCCTGTAGTCCCAGCTATTCGGGAGGCTGAGGCAGGAGGATTGCTTGAGCCCAGGACTTTGAGGTTGCTGTGAGCTAGGCTGACGCCACGGCACTCTAGCCGGGGCAACACAGTGAGACTCTGTCTCAAAAAAATAAATAAATAAATAAAGCTGTTAAAATAAAAATCACTGCGGTGCCTGGTGCCTGCAGTGTGTGTCTATGAGTGTGTCACCTGAATGTGTGTGTGCCCGACAGGGTGGGATGCAGGTGGCTTTGAATGGGAAGGGCTGAGAGTCGGTGAAGGAGGGAGAGGCATATTGGATCCCCACCCCCACTCCTGAACCTCCTTGTCCAAAAGCAGAAGCATGGCCCACAGTGGGACAGCTGCCCTAGGAATGGGCCCTGCAGTGCGTGCTGAGTGACGACAATGAAGGGAGTTCTGCGCTGGGCAGGAGCTGGTGGAGATGACTAGGTGTGTCTGGGTAGAATGGCATGTGTGTGTGTGTGTGTGTGTGTGTGTGTGTGTGTGTGTGAGAGAGAGTCCAAGGAGCAAAGGGCTAGAAAAAGAGGAACTGAGAGAAGAGCACCCACAGCTAGGAGATTAGCTTGTTCCCTGTCTCCCACCTGCTGTCCAACCCCCAAGAAGTAGCCCCCAGGGCCCCACGGCCCACTTCTCCCCTACTGTGGCCACAGTAGCATCCTTTTTCGCTTGTCCCCAGTAGGCAACATCTACTAGGGTCAGAATCCTGCCGTCTCTAGCATTGGAAGAGGTGCGAATTGTGTGCAGTGTTGAGGAGGAGAGGAGCCCAGGGTCTGTTGGGTTTGGGGTCCCCCATTGCCCTGGCTGGAAGATAGACCATATGGAGCCCAGGGGTGAGGGTGCACAGGGAGCCCATCCATGCATGCCATGGTCACTGAGTTGCTGGGGGAGCGTCATCCTTTATCTGGCTGCAGTGTCTGGTGTCAGTGTGCTTGTGCTGTGTGTGCATACGAATGCGCATGACTTATTTGGGTAACTGAGTGTGGTGTTGTGGCAGGCTGTGTGTGAGCGTGTGTGTCTGTGGATGTGCAGTATTTGCGTGTGGTGTGTCTGTGTGTGAGAGGATGAGAATAA